TTTTGAAGTTCAGCAGTTTTGAACCATGCATTTTATTTATTTATGTTATAGGAAGGTTATTGGGTTTTGCATTTGACCTACTGTCCTAGTTTTGTTTTTAAAACCATCATGGAAAGTTTTAAGTTCTGAACTGAAAGCTCTAGTTCCTGACCTTAATTTATGCCTTCTTCCTTATTTCATAAATTTTCTTTCTATTTTGAACCATTGTGGGATTTTTTGCTCATGTTCTATGATCTCTGGTGAGCTATAGGATTCTGTCATTTGTCAGACAATTTCACAAAATCATAATCACAGAATTTGAGAGTTGCTGGGGACCTCTGCAGCTAGGGAGTCCAGCTGATACCTAAGGGGAATTCTGACTCATTAGCTTGAGGAGTGGTCCTCCTTCCTATCCTGAAAGATCTCCAAGGAGAGGCAGCTCCACCTCCCCCCCAAGGAAGTGCATTCTACTCCTGGACAACTCTCATTGTTAGGAATTTATAAGACATCAAGCCTCAGTTTGTCTCTTTGCAACTGCTTTCAGATCTTCACTCTGGGGCCAAACAGAACCAAACACATTCCTCTCATATACAGTGGCCTTGAAATATTTGAATATGGCTATGATATCTGTTCAAGAAAAAATATTAATACTAATAGTGGATTCTGCCATTTTGGCTCAAGTCTGGCAGAAACTGTTTTCTTCAATATATCATTCAACTCTATACAAGTTGAGAGAGAGAGAGAGAGAGAGAGAGAGAGAGATAATCCTCACACTCTGACATGACTGCCTCAAGTTAATTTTAGATAACATTTATAGGAATCTTGAACAAAGAAAAGAAATCTTAAAATACAGTCTGGGTTAATATTCCAGCATTGTTGAGTAACTGAGTTGCCATCCTGTTCCCTCTAGGAACACTCCCCACACTCTAGGAGCTAAAACAAAGGGACTTCCTCAGTGCCATTGATACCTTAACCCTTTCTCCACTGAGAGGGATGTGTCCTTGTGCAGGGATCAGTGTAGGTGGCCAGGTAAAGAGCTCTTAGCTGGGTAAATAACCAAATCACTTCAGTGGGAGGGAAAGCAGACATCCATCCCACACCATTTGAAGCCTCTTACAACTATGTAGTAGTTTTGTTGTCTTCCTAACTTCCCTGAACAACCATTTTGTCATGCTCAGGGACCTTTTACAGCTTCTTATAACTCTAACCAACTTCCAAATTCACTTGCTTTGCTCCTGCTGGGGCACCTATCTCCACCTCCTTCCAGCTACCCATAGCTTCCTGAGGCTCTGGGTCCACACCCTGAGGCTGAATCCCTATCGTAAATGATAACCTCCCAGAACTCATTTCTCAAACCTACTTCCACTCTGCAATCTCCTTCTCAACCCCATAATTCTAATCCCCCATTGCTATTGTTCAAACCCTGTCCTCTGTCCCCTACTGACGACTTCCTTATTCCCATCTCTTTCCATCCCTCTTCCTCCACTTCCTGGTCTACAGCTACTTAACCCTTCCCCTTTGCACTCTGGAATGCCTGCTCCACAGGTAAAAAAAAAAAATTAGATTTCGTCTTCTATATTTTCCTTTCCTGGTTACTCTATTCTGTTCTCACTGGACTTGATTCCCATGTGATGACACAGCTTCCTTAGCCACACTTTCTAGCTCTCAATGCACTTTTGCTCATAACTCCAGAATAAGTAGTCAGGAATTCAAATACTCTTTGCTACCCCTTGCCACCTCCAGGTTCTCCCTCTACCACCATGATTCTAATCTCTCTTCCTTTGAGGTTCATTCAATCCACATTTATCATCCAATCAAGATTCTGGTGGCTATTGTCTACCAATTTCTAGGATGCTCTCCTTTCTTTTTCAAAGACTTTAGTGACTATCTCACAGTCTTCCTACCCATACTAGGCTTCTTACCTTCATACTAGAGGATTTCAACCTATGTGTTGATACTCCCAGTTCTTCAACTTGCTCGTTTCCTAGGACCTACTCTACCACTTCAACTCAGCTCCACTTATCTTGCCATCACCCAGAAATGTACCACTTTCATGTTTATGAACTGAAATCCCCTCATTTGATCCCAATCTGTTCTCCTTTCATCTTTCCTTCAGCCTTACAACTCCAAATCTTGTTTTTCCTCCTTACTGGAATCTCCAATTCCTCCATCCATCAGTTCTTTCCCAGAGTGTTGCCCCTGCACTGGCTACACTCTCTTCCCTCCCCCAACTTGAGCCAGTTCAACTCAATACTATCCTTTTCTCTTAAGCTTTTTTGTGCTATCGTAGATTGTTCCCTGCCAAGCTTCAGCCTTGGATTACTCCTACAGTTTGTTCCCTCCACTCCTACTCACATGCAACTGGATGAAAGTGGAGACAGTCACAAAACTGTGCTGAGTCCACTACAAATTTATCTCACATAATCTCAGCTGGACCTTCATGGAAGCAAGGCAATCCTTTTATATCTCTATTTGACTCATTTTCTCACTCACTGCAGCAGCTTTTCCAAACCTCCTATGGCTCCCCCTTCCCACACTCTCAGCTGAGAACCTTTGCCTCATGTGAGGTCATTAACTGACAGTATCCTCTATTCCTCATCCCACACCCTTTAGATGCTTTCTTCTACTCCTTCATCACCATTTCACATGAAGAGGTAGCCCTTCTTGCCAACACAAACCCCTCTACATACTCAAGTGATCCCATTCCATACTATCTACCCCAACAGATCTTCCTCTATCATCTATATTTTCTTACTAATCTTCATTTCTCCTGATCTACTGACTACTTCCTCCAAGATTCTGATGTCTTCCCCATCCTCACAGATTCCTCACTGGATCCATCCATCCCCACTATCTATCATCCAGTGTCTGTCCTCCCTTTTCTGTCTAAACTTCTTGAGAAATCTGTCTACAATTGGAGCCTCTGCTTACTTTTCTTTCATTCTCTTCTTAACTCTTTGCAATCTGGCTTCCAACTTAATCATTCATTTGAAACCATTGTCTCCAAAGTTACCTATGATCTCTTCATTATCAAATCTAAGGGCCTTTTCTCAATTCATTCTTCCTAACTTCTCTGTAGCCTTTGACGCTGTTGACCACCCTCTTTCCCTTGATGCTCTCTTTCAGGTTTTTGTAACTCTGCTTTCTCTTGGTCTCCTACCCACCCACTTACTTCTCTGACGGCTCCTTCTCAGTCTCTTTTGCAGGATCTTTATCTAGTCTGCCTATTAACTAGGGATGGCCTTTATGACTCTGTCCTGGGCCCTCTTTTCTCTCTCTATACTGTTTTGTTGGTGATCTCTTCAGCTCCCACAGCTTCAATAATCATTTCAATATAAATCACTCTCAGAGCTATTTGTATAGCCCTAACATTTATCCTGATCTTTAGTCTCATATCTCCAGTTGCTTATTGGACATCTTGAACTGGATGTCCCACTGACATTTTAAATTGAACATGTTCAGAACTGAACCATCTTTCCTTCTAATCCCTCCCTTCTTTCTATCTTCCCTGTTATTGCCAAAGATATCTTCCCACTTTCCAGGGCTTACTTTGGTATGACCTTTGACTCTTCATTCTTTCTCACTCTCCATATACAATCTGTTGCCAAGTCCTGTTAATTTATCTTTAAAACATTTCTCCTATATGTTCCCTCTTACCTTTTGACATGGCTGCCATCCTGGTTCTGGGCCTCTTCGTCTCAAGCCTGGACTATTGTAATAACCTTCTGGTTGGTCTCCTTGCCTCAACTCTCTCCCTTACTCCAGTTCATCCTCCATTTAACTGTCAAATTGGTCATCCTAAAGTCCAGATCTGACCATGTTGTCTCGCTCTTTAATAAACTTCAGTGGTTCCCTCTTGTTTCCAGAATCAAATATAAAATCTTCTTGGTGTTCAAAGCTCTACAGAACCTGGCACCTTCCTACCTTTCCAGTCTTCTTATACTTTATCCCTTTCCATATACTTTGTATCCATTTGCACCGGTCTTATCACTGTACCTATCACATGACACTCTTCTTCTCACTGACTGTTCTCCATATTTGGAAACATTTCTTTCCTTATCTCAGCCTCCTAAGTTTACTTGGCTTTTCTCAAGCCTAAGCTGAAATTCCACCTTTTGTAAGAAGCCTTTCCTAGTCTTCCATAATTGTAGTGCCTTCCCTCTGTGAACAATTCCCAGTTATCACATATGTGTGTGTATATATGTGTGTGTGTGTGTGTGTGTGTGTGTGTGTGTGTGTATGTATATATGTGTGTGTGTGTGTGTGTATATGTGTGTGTGTGTGTGTGTGTGTATATATATATATGTATATATGTTTGTACCTAGTTATCTGCATAATCCCCCGTTCTTGAGTAGAGTAGAGAATATTGTTTTTATTTTGTGGCCTCTATATATTTGAGACCCTAGTACAGGGACTCACATATAGTAGGTGCTTAACAAATGCTTGTTGATTTGAAAAGACTTAAAAGTTAAGTCATAAGCCTCAATCCACTTTCTTAAGAAATTCTTTCTTGCCCTCTACCTATCAATCCACTTCCCAGTGGGTTTTCCCTAGAAATATGGAAAGAGTTGTAGAGAAAAATATTTTTTCTTAATATTTTTAGGGCAATTAAAAAGGAAATTTTTAAAAAAATATGTTTCTACAAATTCCTCTTGAGCCTTCTTTTCTCCAGACTAAACATCCCCATTTCCTTTAACTTTATGTGCTCAAACCCTCCACCTCCTCTGGACACTCTCAGGCTTAGGAATATCCTTCTTAATTGGCTGCAAATAGAATTTAGGGCAACATTAAAATTTGTTTTTAATCTAGATACTATATTAGAAGTGATCAATTAGTTCCTTTTGAACTAATATGATGCTAAATCTTTAATATTAAAACATATCAAAATGTTCCATACTAATTAAAAGTTTTATGTTTAGGGGATAAGAGACCTGGAAAACATAAAAAGCAGCCTTCAATTAACACCAAAAAAAAAGTCTGTGAATTGCTCTGTCACTTCTATTTCTTCTTCAAAACTAAATTTTCCCCAGATGCTCCAGCAAGCTACAGACATGAATCATCAAGAAAGACTTCAAGACCAACAACTGGGTAAGAAAAGGATTCATGGGGAAGGATTCCTTTCCCCCACATCACAAACTGTCTCTATAATGGTGGTCTTTCAGTGTCTGTGCTTGTGGGGAAAATTGTCCATTTTGGTGACTATTCCTGAATTTCAAGTAAATTGCTAACAAGTGACAGTAGATAAATGTGTAGCCACAGTCCAGTGGAAAGACTGCTAAATTTAAAGTCATGGGACCTAAGTTTGAATATAAGCTCTGTTAACTGAGTTACTGCCTGAATCATCATTTAATTTCTCAAGGCCTCGATTTCCTTGACTGTACAATTAAAGGGCTGGACTTCCCCAGGCTATCACTCCTGCTTTGGCTATTACCTTCTCCATTCCCAACTGTGACACTTTTGTTAACTTCATACCCTATTCTTTCTGTTAAGTTCTTTGCTTCCACTTGTCATAACCCAAATTATTCCCACAATCTATCTCCTTTGCTTCTACTTCTATCTACTGAATAGAGTAAGTAGGAGCCATGCAGCTGTGTTGATTGGCTCCACTAAAAATTCATGTTATATCTTTCCTGTTGGGACCTCCTCACAGGGATTCAATCTTCTATTTTCCTCCAACTTACTTCCTATTCCTATTCACTCTTCCTATTTCCTATTCACTCCCCAAAGAAGCTGTTCCAAACCTTCCATTCTCTCCCATACCACTCACCCACCTCACTCTCTCAGCTGAGGACTTTACACCTCATACTTTTCTGAGAAAATGGAGGTTATTTGGGGTAGCTAGGTGGTGCAGTGGATAGAGCACTGGCCCTGAAGTCAGGAGGACCTGAGTTCAGATCTGGCCTCAGACCAAACACTTGACACATTTACTAGCTGTGTGACCCTGGGCAAATCACTTAACCCCAACTGCCTCAAAAAAAAAAAGAAAAAGAAAATGGAGGTCATTCAGTGGGAGTTCTTTTCTACTTCTTCACATCTCACAACCCTTTTACATCACCTGCCACTATCATATTCATTAATACAGTTTCTGATAAGGCCTTGGCCCTTTTCCTCACCAAAACCAAAAACTTCTACATATATCCTTAATCCCATCACCTGCCAACTCCTTTTACCTGAAGTCAGGAAAACCTGTGTTCAAAACTAGCCTCAGACATTTAGTAAGTGTGTGACACTGGGCAAATCACTTAGAGTCTGTCTCCCTCAGTTTCCTCATTTATAACATAAGGGAAATAATAGCACTATAACTCCCAAGGTTGTTGTGAGAATAAGATAATATTTGTAAAGCTTTTTGTAAAATTTAAAGTGTTATAGAAATGCTAACTCATCATCATTATGGCTTTTATCATGATTCCACTTACCAGGTAACCCTGAATGTGTTTTGTATGTGTTTGGTGTGTAACTATAGATGTGCCTGTTCTCTCCTAGGTTAGAAAACAAACTCATCTGGGACTGTTTTGATCATGTCTTTGTCACCTCCCTTACATAGCACAGTGAATGGCAGAGAGTGAGCATTTAGTAAATGATTATCAATTGGTTGATGGGATTAGATGGCTTGAAATCCCTTCCAAATCTAGATGTATAATCCTAGGATTTTATGCCTCAGGTGGAGCTGAGCTCTCACTGATTGAGAGCTAATGACTTAGGCTTCTGCTTCACTGAGAAGATTGAAACTGTCCAACTTATCTCAGTCCTCAGAACTCACCATCATCAGTCACTCTTTTCTCCTCCCTTCTGGTACCAGGCAATATGATATACTTATTCCTCACTAATTTTCTCTACCTGAATTCTCTACACCACTTTCTCTGTCTGATCCCATGTTGACATTGCCCCCACCTCTAAGATTTTATTCCGACAATCTCTCTCTTTCATCCTTCCTCAGTTTTGACTATGTTGAAGTGAGGCCCTTTGGGAGGTCCCAAGTCCTGCCTAATTCCTGATGAATATGGTTGCCATTTGCAGTGAAAGGTAATTAATGAACAAGTGTGGTTTTCTTTTTTCCAACAGGGTCTGGGTACAGGAAAAAGCACGCGGGATAATGAGATAGATGAACTGAGGATTCGCCTTGTAGGGAAACATGGTTCAGGAAAAAGTGCTGCAGGAAACAGCATCCTGGGCAGGCGTGTGTTCAAATCCAGATTCAGTGAGCAGCCAGTGACCCAAGAGTGCCAGACAGAGCAGCAAATCTGGAGACACAGAAAAGGTGTACTCATTGACACTCCAGATATCTTTTCCCAAAGAGATTTCCAGAAACAGCTGTACCATCTCTCCTCTGTAATCTCTGCAGGCCTACATGCTCTCCTCCTAGTGACTCCACTGGGCTTCTATACAGAGGAAGATGAGACAATAGTGGGAAACATTAAGAAGTTTTTTGGAGAAGAAGCCCTGAGGAAATATGTGATCATTCTGTTCACCCGGAAAGAAGACTTGGCAAGCAGACTTGATGGAGTTCATAAAGAATACAGACAAAGCTCTTCAGAAACTCATTTGGGACTGTGGACTTCAGTACTATGCTTTCAATTACCGAGTCACTGGAAAGGAGGAACAATTCCAAGTGAATGGGCTCTTGGAGGAGATCATCAAAATGGTAGAAAGGAATGGAGGTCAGTATTTTATCTTTAGGAAGTCTGTTATTAAAACTAGCAGGAAAACAAAATGCAGAAACTCTAAAGAATATAGTCTGAGGAGAGAGGGAGAAGTGAAAAAAATGTATACATTGTCAGGAAATGACCCCAAATCAAGCCTTTTTTGATTTTTCTAACTTTTCACCAATCTCTTCTCTGTCATCATACCTTTACAATCTGTCTCCTTTCATTATTTTCTGTCCCCTATTATTTTCTAGTCACTTTATTTGGGTCAATCTCATTTTACCAACTACTTTGTGATAGAAATCTGTGAATAAGAGAAACTGAAGCATAAAGTTCCAAGCATAATCAGTTTTCTAGGAAAGCTAGCAGTCACCAATAAATGAGGTTAGTGACTTCTCAGCAGTCCAGACTTGGGGTGTGCAAAGATTATTTTATAGTCATAAAAGAAGAATTGGAAAAGTGCAAGGTTTTCAAGAAACATGTTTTGATTGTATTTTCATTGGCTGGGACATGACAAAAGACATGCATTTAGACTAGGTACAACATGGATGATTCTGAGGTTATGAGAAAGAGTCTATTGCTGAATTGGAGGGGAGTTGGAATCATAATAGAAATCTGTGCACTGTCTGGCTTCATAGAAACTCAGCTCTGTAAAAAATGAGAAACTCTATGTAATCTACTACAGTGAACACACACACACACACACACACACACACACACACACACATCTTTCTTATCCTAACAGCTTTCTTATAAAAACTAAATTGAATCAACAGGATAATCAATACCTTCTTCACTCAGGATTTTTCATTATTTCTTTCACTCCTTGAGGGCAAGGATCATAGTTCTAGTCATCTCAATGTTCCTCAATAGCTAGCATGCTGTCTCTCATATAGAACAATAGCTTAAGAGTCAGAAGAGAACATAGATCTCCATCTACTATGCTAAGCCCCTCATTTTATAGGTGAGGAAAATGAGGCCCAGAGTGAGTAATTTGGGTGAGTCATGAAACTAGAACATGGCAAAGTCAAGATTTGCAATCAGGCCCTCAGATTCCATATCCAGGATTCTTTACATCTGCCCATACTGTCTCTAATAAGAGATTTCAATAAATTCTGACTGGCTGATTCTTTGGGATCTAAGTCCCTTTGCCACACATCCCTCTAAATTCTCCCATTTCTCATATCCATTGTCTTTTCCTGCTTTCCCATCTCTTTTTAAGGTTGTTTAGAGCTTCTGGCTCTGGGAGCAGGGTAAGAAGAAAGAGGCAGAAGGGCTTTAAGGAGGCCCCTACTCCAACAACCTTTGGCCAAGAATCATTAGCTAGACATAGTCCCGGACCCTAGGTGTTCTTCAGAAACAGGACAAAGACTATCCCCAACAAATAGGTCAGTACTTTACTTTCAAGAAGTCTGTCTTTGGAATGCATAGAAAAATTTTCAGAGATGCTAGAGAAGGGTGAAAACCCCACAGGGAATAAGGTATGATGAGAAAGGATGTACATTCTAGGGCAGAGGATTTTAAACTTTTTTATGCCATGGACCTATTTGATAGTCTTATGAAACCTATTGACTCCTTCACATAATTGTGTTTTTAATGCATATAATAAAACATATAGGACTAGCAAGAAAGCCAATTAGATTGAAAAATAGCTTTCAAAATATTTTTGAATGTTCACAAATTTTAGGCTAACATCTCCTGTTCTAGAGAGATATGGCCAGGTCTTCCCTTTCTTTAATATTTCTTAGTATCCCAAATTTTATTTCTCTCTTCTATAACTAAATTGAATGACATCTTTTCCCTTCTCTGGAATTCACTTTTCTTGTCTTTCATGTGCAAAAATTGGACTAGATGATTTCTGGGGTCTCATCTACCTCTAATAGTTCATAGAGAGCATGATCCACCCACATTGTATCTTTTACTGACCTCAGTTTAGCTTGTTCTTTTGCAGTTTATAAAGACAGGGAAGCTTAACGCAGGAGATAGAACAGCTAAAAGATTTCTCTTTCAAACAAAGAGTTAAGCTCTACCCTTCACAACCTCTGCTATTTCTGCACACTTGTTCTAGAGCAGGGCTAATTCCTTCTAAGTGACTCAAGTCTCTGGGCAACTTCCAAAATAATATATTGTACACTTATCATACACATAATGCAATGGTGGTATTATAAGAAAACAATGGAAATGTAAAGCATAATTCCAGGTCTAAAGGTCCATCTTGGGAGAGAAAAAATATGCGCAGATGAAAAAAATAGTGTGCAGTAGAAGAGAAAAGTGCCATAACAGAACCTAAATTACAAGTGCTATTAGGAGTCCATAGAAAGGAACCATCAATCTTGGTTTAATGGATGGGGAAGGCTTCATGGAGAAGCTGACTTAAAGGCATCATTAGGCCTCAAATGGCAGGTAGGATTTGGGCAGAGGGGAGAGAATTTAGGAGGGAAATTTACTCAGGTTCAAGGGAACCACATAAACAGTGGAAGGAGAGAGTATAACATTTTTGTGGAGTGTATAGGAGGATTCTCTGACTGGAGCAGAAGGATAATATTTATGAGGCAGCTATATTGGACATAAATTATAAAGCGATTTGACTTTCAACTTTATCAGACAAATAAAAGAGAGTCATTTTCATTTCTACGGCAGAAGAATGACTGGGTGAAAGCAGTGTTTGAGAAAGAAATGTTTGGTTTTTTTTTTCATGAACCAAGTTTGAGCATGGGGACCAGTAATAACAACAACCACAACAATAATGATAATAACCACATTAAAAATTTGCATTCAAAAGTGATGAAATTGGTAATCACTGACTGCCTTTAGGATAGCTTCAAAGTGGTCTTCTAAGGGCAGCTAGGTGGTGCAGTGGATAGAGCTCTGGCGTTAGAGTCAGGAAGACCTGAGTTCAAATCTGGCCTCAGACACTTGAAGCGTACTAGCTGTGTGATCTCGGGCAAGTCACTTCACCCCAATTGCCTCACCAAAAAGCAAAAACAAACAAACGAAAAAACAAAGTGGTTTTCTAAATATTCTACAACAGAAGTCTGTCTGAAAGGGAGATTTAGTAGATAAGAACTAGGACAATCATGAGAGAAGACACAGAAGAATACAGCACAGAAAATTCTTCACCTCTAAATTCCAAAGCTCAAATAATTCAAATTTTCTTTGTCATTTACAGTGATAGTTTGCATTCATCATGATGACTTAAAGTGACCTAAAGATTAGAATCATCAAAAAATTTCATTATGTTCAACATATTTCCATCTGAAGCACTTCTTAGTGTGTTTTAATGTTAGAAAGCTGAGAATTCTTTGATGAGACACACTTGTGTAATTCTTATCATGTTTTCAAAGAAAATGATGAATACTGTACTCTGTGTCATAGGCACATTTCTACAAGAAACAATTTCTATTCATTTAACACTGATCTAAATCCAAACATTTCTAGCTTAGAAAAAGAAAAGTCCAAACTGACCTAGTTCCTTCTGCTCTCCCCCATCCTAAACACTTGGACATCACTGTACTCCAAGATAATTGGAGGTAACAATTATAGGAATGTTGAACATGGAGAATGTCACAAAATGACAAAACATTGTTTTGGCCTTAACATTCTCCCTCATCTAATGGAACAAGAGTGATTTGATCTTTTGGAATTCTCCTGGAGAACACTTCTCAATCCCAATTGCCAGGCTCTTAGTCTTTGCCCTTTCTACATATATTCTTAAAGGGAAAAATCTGGAAAGCATTTAGAACTATGGGAAATATTACTCCTTAATATTCTTAATTGAACTAAAACACAAGTTTGTCATCTGCTTCTACAAGGTAAACTGGGATACCAGTTGTTTCATCATTGAAACTGGGATATCACTGTTTCATCCCTTCTTTCACAATAACATCATGAAAAGATTATAACCAAACACCACCACAAAGGGGTCAACCACATTGTTACAGAATTTGCTGTAAAGCTCTTTAGTTTCTTGTCCATGATGCCAATCATCCTTGTGGAATTTACTAACCATGCAATGCTTCTTCCCCTGACTACATTAGGTCAGTCAGTCAATAAGCATTTATTATGTGCCTACTGTGCCCTGGCACTGGGCTAAGTACTACAGAAACAAAAAGAGGCAGAAGACATCCCATGCCTTCAAGGAGTTAAAAACCCAATGATAGCTCACATTAGGTGAGGTGTAAGAGAGATGAGAGATTCCCCCTCTCCTGTCTCTGTCTCTCTCTCTCTCCCTCTCTCTATCCCCCTCCATACACACACACACACACACACACAACACAAACATATATGGAATAGGTATAGGCAAATATTTAACAACTATCTCTTTAAAATTTTAATTCGCATTATTAACATTTTTTCCATCATTTCCTTAAGTCTAGACAATCAACAAAACAAAAGAAATCCTGATTTATATTATTTGCTGACTTCAGAGGTGTAAATGCTCACATTGAAAATATCTTAAACATGTTTTTATTGATTTCTTCTGTTTTTATACCACCATGGTTATTCCTAATATCACTCCTCCTCGCATTCTGAGAATGCCATCATATATAACAAATAGTATTTTTTTAAAGAGGAAAAAAACCATCACAAGTAATTGATAGATTCAAAAAATGCAAGAAAACATATTCAGTGTTTGACATTTGTGGCATGAAGGGATAGTTTGGTTGGGGGGGGGTTCTCATATTTCTTCATTCAAGTCATGCTTGATCTTAATAAATTTTTTTTGCATTTACCTTTGATTTCTTTCAAATGTGGTTGTTTTTTCTATTTACATTGTTGCAGCCATTATGCACAGTTTTCTTGGTTCTGCTTACTTTGCTTTGCATCAGTTCTTTCCATTCTTTTCTGTACTGATCACAATACTATTTCTCATATGACAATAATATTCTATTGCATTTATGTAGCACAACGTGTTTAGCTATTCCCCAATTGATGGACATCTCTTCTGTTTCCAATTCTTTGCCATCATAAAAAGTGCAGCTATAAATGTTTTGGTATACATGGGGACTTTCTTTGATTGATAGCTTCCTTGGGGTATAAGGCAAGCAATGGGTTCAAAGAATTTGGGCATTTTAGTCACTTTGTATAATTCTAGATAACTTTCTGAAATTGTTAGATCCTTTAACACTTCCGTCAACAATGTATTATTCACACTGAAATTTTAACAACTGGACCAGTTTGATTCAAAATGGCTCTAGCACACCCTGGAATATATGTATATAAAGTGCATACATACATGTATGAGTCCATATATAAGATTCACATGTACATATATAAACATAAAAAATAAATGCATGTATGGTATATATATGGGCTCACACATATATAGAAATAGAAATCATTTCTCTCTCCCTCCCTCTCCTCCTCCCCCCTCTGTGTGTGTGTGTGTGTGTGTGTGTGCGTGTCTATTTTTCTCTCTCCATTCCCCAACACACAGACCAGATCTGTTAAATTCTAAAATGCTTCAACAGGTTACGTGATTTTCTTTAAAAATAAAATTGCTGTACTAAAGTCAATACAAAAAGAAAATCTCTTATGATAATTTTGGGATCCTTTCTGACTCTATAATTATAGGATTCAACTATTCCATAACCTCTGTTTTGACCATGATGAAGTGAGGCCCCTTGGTCAGATCCCAAGTCCTGCCCTGAGTCCTGGCAAACTTGGCTGTCATTTGTAGGAAAAGGCTCTTAATTAACATGTCTGTTTTATCCCAACAGGGTCTGGGCACATGATAGAGCCCAAGCAGGACAAAGAGATAGATGAATCGAGGATTCTTCTTGCGGGGAAACATGGTTCAGGGAAAAGTGCTGCAGGAAACAGCATCCTGGGCAGGCGTGTGTTTGAGTCCAGACTCAGTAAGCAACCAGTGACCCTAGTGTGTAGGAAAGAGCAGTGGATTTGGAGACAAAGAAGAATTGTGCTCATTGACACTGCAGGTATCTTTTCCCAAAGGGACTCCCAGAAAGAGCTCCACCACCTCTCCTCTCTATGCTCCCCAGGCCTGCGTGCCCTCCTCCTAGCGATCCCTCTAGGCTCCTACACAGAAGAAGACCGAGACAGCGGTGATGAACATCAAGGAGGGTTTGGAGAGGAAGCTCTCAGGAGCCACGTGATCATTCTAGTCACCCGAGAAGAAGATTTGGCAGGAAGGGACCTGATGGAGTTCATAGAGAACACAGATAAACCTCTTTGTAATCTCATTTGGGGATGTGGATTTCAGTACCATGCTTTCAGTTACCAAGTCAGGAGAGGAAGAACAATTCTGGAGAAGATTGACAAAATAACGTATGACAATGGAGGCCAACTTTGTACCTTTAGGGAGTCTGCTACTAGACCTGGTAGGAAAATATAATGTGGAAACTCTAAAGAAAAGGGGCTGAGGGAAGAAGGAGGAACAGAAAGAATGAACACATTGAAGGGAAATCTTTCCAAATGAAGCCTTTATTTTTCTTCTCACTTTTCACCAATCTCTTCTCTGCCATCAGCCTCTTATAGTCTGTCTCCTACAGTTTAGCATTTCGTTATGTCTTGCCTCTATCATTTTCTAGTCATTTTATGTAAGTCAATCTCATTTCCTTTCTTTCAATTTTTAATTTATGGAGTAAAACAAGTATTTCCATAGCACAGTACAGTAAATAAGATGATTGTGCATGAAACTGCAAATGTACTATGCACAACTTGCTACTCCTTTCAAACATGCAATAAAATTGTCATTATATTTCTTTTTTTCTCTTACCTTTCCATCCCCAACCTAGAGATAGCTATCTTCAGACACAAATATGTGTGTATATGTATATGTATATGTATGTATGTCTGAATATATGTATGTAAAAGTATTCCATGTACATTTCTATTTATCAATTCTTTCCCCTAAAAGAGTATGCTCAGTTTTGCTGAGTAGGTGATTCTTGGTTGTAATCTTAGCTCCTTTGCCCTCTAGAATGTCATATTCTAAGCCCTCTGATCCTTTAGCTTAGAAGCTGCTAAATCTGGTGTTATTCTGACTGTGGCTCCACAACACTTGAATTGTTTTGTTTTGCTTTATTTTTTTCTGGCTGTTTGAAGTATTTTCTCCTTGACCTGGGAGCTCAGAAATTTGGCTATAATGTTCCTGGGAGCTTTCATTTGGGGATCTCATTGAGAAGGTGATCAGAGGATTCTTTCAATTTCTATTTTACCCTCTGATTCTAGAATATCAAGACAATTTTCCTTGATAATTTCTTGAAAGATGATGTCTAGGCTCTTTTTTTTATTATGATTTTCAGGAAGTCCAACAACTTTTAAAATTATCTCTCCTGGATCTATTCTTCGGGTCAGTTGTTTTTCCAATGAGATATTTCTCATTGTCTTCTATTTTTTCATTCTTTTGGTTTTGTTTTAATTGTTTCTTGATTTCTCAGAAAGTCATTCACTTCCATTTTTTTCAATTCTAATTTTCAAAGAATCATTTTCTTCAGTGAGTGCCTCCTTTTCCATTTGGTCAATTATACTTTTTAATGAGTTTTTTCTTCAGTGAATTTTTGTGCCTCTTTTTGCATTTGGCCAATTTTAATTTTTAAGACATTCTTCTCCTCATTGGCCTTTTGTACCTCTTCTACAATTTGGCCTAGTCTGTTTTCTAAAGTGTTATTCTCTTCAATAATTTTTTTTGTATCTCCTTTACCAAACTGTTGGCTCATTTTTTATGATTTTCTTGCATCACTCTCTTCTTTTCCTACTTTTTCCTCTACCTCTCTTGCTTGACTTTCAAAATCCTTTTTGAGCTCTTTCATGGCCTGAGATGAATTCACATTTTTCTTGGAGGCTTTGGATTTAGAAACTTTGACTTTGTTATCTTCTTGGTGTGTGTTTTGATCTTCCTTATCACCATAGTAACTTTCTGTGGTCAGATTTTTTTTTCTGATGTTTTCTCATTTTCCCAGCCTATTTCTTGACTTTTAACTCTTTATTAAAATAATTCATTGAACAGTTTATTAAAGTTGTTCAGCTCTTTTCAGAGATACTTCTGGGAACCTGTAAGTACTCTGAGGGGTTTAGGGAGAGTTCAGATGAGTACCTGCTTTCTCTCCATCATCTTGGCTTCACCCCCTTGATGCTAATCATCTTTACTAACCACGAAATGCTGCCTCTCCTGATTATGTTGGGTCAGTCAGTCAGTCAATAAGCATTTATTAAGTGTGTACTATGGCCAGGCACTGTGCTAAGCACTGGGGGGGCAAAGATGCAGAAGGCATTCCCTACCTTCAAGGAGTTAAAAATCCAATGACAGCTCACATTCAGTGAGGTGTAAGAGAGATAAGAGATTCTTGATGTGTCTCTGTGTGTGTCCCTCTCTTTATGTCTCTCTCCCCCCATACACACACACACACATACACACACACACACACACACACATACATAAGCAGCTGTATGCTGGCAAATGCTTAACAATTCTTTCTCTCTGAATAAAGCATTTTAAAAGTTTAATCTGCATTATTAACATTTTCTCCATCATTTCTCAAGTGCAGACAATCAAAACAATAAAGCCCTGATTCAAAGCATTTGCCAATTTCAAAGTTATAAATACATTGAACATTTTTTAAATTAATTTTTATTGATACTTTCTGTTTTTACTCCATCATAGTTATGACCAATATCCTTTCCCCTCTGCCTCCCAATGAGCTTTCCCATTTAATAAATATTTTAGTATTTGCCATATAACAATATTTTCTTGTAACAAATATTTCCCATATGATGAAATTTTTAAGGAGGAAGAAAATCATCACAAGTGACTGATACATTCAAAAAGTAGAGGAAAACATGTAAAATATTTTGTGGACTCTCCCCTACCTCCATGAAAGGGTAGTTTGGGAGTTTCCTTTCATATCTCTTTTTTCAAGTCATGCTTGATCTTCATAATTTTATTACATTCACCTTTGAATTTTTTTCCTGTGCAGTTGTTCTTTCTATTTACATTTTTTTCAGTCATTGTGCACATTGTTTTCTTGATTCTGCTTACTTCATTCTGCATTAGTTCATACAGATCTTTCCATTCTTCTCTGTATTCATCACATACATTCTTTTTTACTTGACAGTAATATTCCATTAATGTTCCTCAATTTGTTTAGCCATTCCCCAATCAATGTGCATCTCTTCGGTTTCTAATGCTTTATGACCATAAAAAGGGCCTTTATAAATGTTTTGGTATATATGGGACTTTCTTCTTACTAATAGGTTTCTTGGGGTATAAGGCAATTAATAGAGTCCCTGATTTGATGGGTATGGATATTTTAGTCACTTTATTTGCATAATTCCAGAAATGGTTGGACTCTTCCATATCTCTAACCACAATGTATTATTTGCACTAAAAATTTAACCATTACATCTGTTTCATTCAAACTGACATTAGTATACCACAGAATATGTATGTGCACATACATAAATATATGCACGTGATTCCATATATATACCCCCAAATATGTGCATATATGAACATAGAAAAATAAATGTGTATATATGTATATGTCTATATATACACACATATACGTATATGGACTCACACATATATAGAAACAGAAACAATATCTCTCTTTGTCTGTCACTCTTTGTCTCTCTCTCTGTCTCGTCTCTCACACAGACACATACTTATGAGGTGGTTTGGCAGGAAAGAGGTGAAGATCAACACAATTGGCGTTGTTCTGAAAGTCTTCAAAGCATCAAGGAGAACACTGGAAATGGAAATAAAATAGGTGCCATTCTAGAACAAGATGACTTAAGGATTGCCTTTTGTTTTTCTTTGTGTCCTCAGTGCTTAGCACAATGATGCATAATAGAGGCTTAATTAATGTTTATTGACTGACAGACAGCATTCCGTGCTAGGTCATGGTTGTGAATCTTTTATTTTTCTTCCCCTGGATACACTGAGCCTCATCATAGTAGGAAAGTGTGGAGCTGGGAAGAGCTCAACAGGGAACACCATTCTTGGAAGGAAGGAATTTCTAGGCCATGTTCAAAGAGAGCCAGTCATCAAAACCTGTAGAAAACATGTTAAGGACCTGGAGAGTACTATTGTGGTTGTTGATACCCCATCATTTTACCTTCCATTAGAGGGTGAATAAGATCTCTATAAACAAGGAGAAGAGATCATTTGCATCCTTACTTTGCTTGAAGGACCCGAAGTTTTTATTCTGGTGATTCAGAAAGGACAATTCGCTCAAGAAGATGAGAAGACCATTGCAGTATTAGAAGCCATATTTGGAACAGAGGTCACCAAGTATATGATTGTGCTCTTGACTAGGAAGGATAATCTAGAACCTTATACAGTGAAAGATTACATCAAGGATTTCACTAACGAACCTCTTAAAAAGGGGATTAAACAATGTGGATACAGATTGTGTGCTTTTAACAACAAAGAAAGTGGCCTGGCCCAGGAAAAGCAGGCAAATGAGCTTTTAGAAATGACTGATGAACTGGTCCAGTATTACGGAGGCCAAGGCTTTGCGTTCAATACTGTTAATCTTCAGGCTCATGCCAAAAGAATCAAAAATCACCAAAAGTGACAGTGTAATATGCTGTCATAGAAGTAAAATTTGTAATAATTTCACTTATTTTCTGGCTACTGGAGTACCTGGGAGTCCACTTAAAAAATAATACTGGTCTTTAACTAGCACCTTAGAGTTTGCAAAACTCTTTATGTATGTTAATTCCTATGGTCTTTACAACAACTCTGGGAGGTAGATGCTGTTATTATCATTCCCATTTTACTGTTGAAAAAACTGAGACATAGAAGGGTGCCTCACCTATCTTTACCTTATCTTATTTTACTTGCCTAAGATCACACAGCTAGTAAGTGTCTGAAGGAGGATGATTGCTGATTCCTATACTCTATCTGCTGTGCCACCCTTCCCTATATACAGTGAGGATATTCCTTGGGACAGTCAGCTAGAAAACTCTATTTATCCTGAGGCTACAGAATTAAAACTTGTACTACATGTTTGATGCTTCAGCTGATAAGCAAAAATGAAGACTGAGTAGGTAGTCACTACTGGATAGGATCTCCAGCAGATTGTAATTCAAGGCTCAGCTCAGTTATTACCTCCTGTCAACCCTTTCTGAGTCCCCTTGGACTTAGCAGTCTTTTTCTCTTCCAATTATCTTGTATTTTACTTATTTGTCTACATAGTATATTTCCTTGAGCAGAATATAATCTGCCTTAGGTTAGAGGCTATTTCATCTTTATCTTTGTTTTAAGGACCGAGACTTCATTGGCCAGCCCCTTCATTCTCCTTCTATTATCTCAATTATTCCTTCACTAACAGTGATCACCCTGGCCTCACTGACTGAAGGCCAAGTATATTATTACATTTCACCTGTCTCTCAGGGGACTTCTAAGGTAACTTCCCTTTAGTACCTTTAAGGGGATTTGGGAGTATCTAGGCTTTCTGACATTGGCTCCAGGCCCCAACAAAGGTGTTCCCTCAATTTTAGGGGTCCCCTGCATTCCTGTTCAATTTAACCACTTACCAGTCAGTTTAGCTTTGACAAAGGAATATTTACTTCAAAAGAATAGCAGGAATAAGCATACAAATCCCAATACCTGGGAGCATACCCCAACCCCACCCCCCCCACACACACACACTGGAGA